CTTTCCAACTATACATATATATGAAATATGATTGTAGTCTGATAGAATTTAAGTTCAGTATATGACAGTAACGTGCGTCGGTGGTACAGCGGTAGAGTGTTCGCCGACCACGCAGGTGGTTCAGGGTTCGATCCCCGGTCGACGCCCTCTCTTACCTAGCTAAGCCAGTAATAAGACAGGTAAAGAGGAAAGGTTTGGCATGAGGCTAACAACCCCATCCTGTAAAAATAATCATCACTGCTACAGAAACTTCAAGCCTCTAGCTCGAAGCCCTATGTTCCACTGGGAACATAAAGCAATAAAAAATATGACAATAACGATAATAAAATATTATAAGTGCTTATATCACCAAGACAATCTACAATACAGGTATGCTGGAAGTTACTGCAAGCGTGTAAAATTACAGAAAAGAGAATTTATGATTTCACGACAATCAGATACCAGAAAAGAATGCGGCCTCCTGGTAAACTATAAATAAAATATATGATGAAAAATGAGTGAATCTGTATGCACAAATATGACTGAAAAAATTCAACGGTCATTGCCTTTCTTCTGCCTAGTAATCAGTATCTAACAGGCCGAACTGCCTTTAGAGCTATTAAAAACAGGGATATTTAAATACTTTGGCATATCAATCAAGCTTCAAGATTCTTTTAAGGTAAAATGACAAAGAGAAAAAATGGAAATATCTCTTTTCCATAAGTTAAGTTTAAAATAAACAAAAAGGAGATAAATATGGTGCTAAATTTTCCGTAAGACTCGGCAGCTAAATACTTTACAAATGTGATTGCTTTTTTTTCTATCGCTTCATACGGTTAACACATAGAGATAAGTGGACTTTGGGGTAGAACACAATTATTAAGTCCAACAAATGTATGACCGATAAAAAAAGTGAGTGATAGTTTGTCAAGGCAACTAAAAAGTTTATATATATATGTACATAGTGCACATTAACACAAAATGTAGTTGCCATGGTATAAATAATAAGAGATTATGAAAATCTAGACTTTATATTATGCATATGAAACGAAATTTTATCCACTTTATATATATATGTAAACCAAATAGAACCATAGCAACAAACTTTATAACATGTCTGAATTAAACTCAAGAAAACAACACTCCTAGGTAAGATTGATACAACTTTGACTTCAGATTTCAGATAATAATCAGACAATAATACAGTAAATAAATGCTACTGAGGTAAAGGTTGGGGAAAATTATGATGATGGTGATGAAGAGCATGCTACTAAGCGAGATTACAAGTCAGCATTATCTCCTTCTGTACACAAAGTTCAGGTTTTTTTTTCAGTAGTATAATAACAGCAAAAGGCAAGACACGGAAGACAAGGTATATTTTCAAGTTATCAAATCGTTATATATTCTCTAACTAATCACTGAGCGTGTGATTTTCGCCTACATTAAATGACATGAAATAGAAAGTTTCAAATATACGTAGTATTCTTTAGCTACAAAGTATTGAACTGTGGGAATATGTGAGAATAATATTCCCTTGGAATACATTGTCTGTATCACACCACCACAGTATAACATAAGCTTCCCAAAAATCGCAGAACTCTTTTATTCCTGCACTTGTAAATAACTACAAAATTTATATTTGTAAGAGTAATATGATCACATTCCAGCAGAAATTACAGAATTACAGATTCAGCCTTTTGAGATGAATTCATGATATAGTGGCTTTTTCTTTTTCAAAACTGTTGCTTGTTTTAAACATGAAAGGGGCAAGTATTTTGTTGTCTTTCGCAGAACAGATTGAAAACTACAACGCTAATGATGATCAGAGAGATGAAGAAGCTTGGTAATAGGGCTGACTTAGAATAGTTTGGAGCTTTTTTTTCATGTGAATAAATATGCGTTTTTACACTGAGAAGGATAAAAGTGGATTAAGGAAATTTTACAAAACTCCTTAGCGTGTTTCCAGTCAAATCTGCTTTCTGAGTGAACTATATTATCGGATTTGTTCAGAGAATCTTAAAATCATTGAAAAACTATCAAAGCATCTATTTAGTAAAAATTAAATTATTTTTCACACGAAAAAATATTTGGATTTTATGAATATTTTGTATACATTATGCTGTTTTAATGGACAGGTGGCAGTTATACAATTAAAGAATAATTTGTATAAGATGTATAAGAAAGAAGTATTAATTATTTGACAAAATTTGATTTAATTCCACACAGTAGACGAAAATGTAAATAAAAAAAAAGAAGTAAAGAAATGTCAGAACACGTAAACAACAAATGTTGGTATTTTAAAAGCAACTTATACACTATTTTTTGATTCATTTTATATCCCTTGTACATATTGTTTTTGCTGAAGGTTTTCAGGCGATGATACAATTTAAACATTAACTTTCTAACTTTGTTTTATTATATGTAGCTTCTTCGAATTAAGTAAATTTAACTTAGGTTGGTATGAAGTACATAAGTGTATTTTGTGTCTACAAGAAAAAAATTTGAGCAAAGAATCTACTTTTTGATAATCTCCTCTTTTGGTTCTATTATTATGATTATTAATTATTATTATTATTCCCTTAGGTTGCAAGTAGAACATAGGGCTTCAGAAACAGATCTCCACTTTCATTACAGGATAGAATTTTCAGGTAGGTAGTTACCTTGGGTTCCTGTGGGAAGTCGGGACCAGTAGAGTGCAACAGGTCGGGTGTGAGGACAAATACTCACCGAACACATTGTCTAGTGGTTGCGCTATATCGTGAATTGGCAGGAGTTAGAATTCATGGGTTGACCATTGGATCGGTTCCCAGTGGCTTATTGATATACCAGCTCGCCTTGTAACCAAAAGGTCCTGGGTTCGAACCGTAGTGGTGGGTGCATACTGATGAAGAGTCCCGAACTAGGACGAAACAACTGTCTAGTACTCCTTGTAGGTTTTCCAATGGTTTTCTGACTGATGTCAGCTCATGATGAAATCCTGTAACCAATCAATCAAATCCCTACAAACCAATACTTAAAATTTTTTTTGATACAATCACACAGTGTTATCAAAATAAAATTTATATCCATAATGAAGTTCTACTCTACCACAGTGCCCAAGCTTTATCTTTGTATCAATAGCATCTCCACTTTGTTCTATTTTCTGCCATCCTCTTCATCTGGGGCCCCGATTGCCCATTATCTCTAATCTCCTCCTCGCACGATCTCCTCCATGTCACCTTCTTACTAACGACCCACTAGCCATATGCCATTTGAGTTCCACCCAAGTAATCGCCTGGCGCACGATGTCATTTGACGACCTCTTCAGCATATGACCGATCAATCTCCATTTTCTCCTACATAGTTGCTGAGCGGCTCTTGGTTTTTTACTAGATTATCTTGTCGCTAATTCTTCCCAATATGACATTTGATCTTCAGTATGGAGCCAGAGAAGGAAGCTGTTGATAAAACTCCGTAACTTGATGGAAATCCGTTTCGTGACACTCAGTTTCTGACCCATATAGAAGGACCGACTTCACATTTGTATTGCAAATCCGTATCTTGTTCTTTGTGCTCGCTGAGTGCATAAGATTTCCAAACTGGTTTCAGGCTGATGAAGGCGTATCTTGTCTTCCCGATTCTCGCTAGCTTTGACGTCTTCATCCGTTCCGCCTGTAGTTGAAACGATGCTTCCTAGATGAGCGAAGGAAGTGATCTCTTTCAAATTTCCCCCGTCGATGGTGGTTGGTGCTGGTTATTGTTGCTTTTCGTTAGTTATCTTCATCACCTCCGTCTTTTCTATATTTACCTGGAGTCCTGTCTTCGCAGCTTCTTCAGATAGTTTTTGGTTTTTGCCTGAAAGTCTTCGAGTTTGTGTGACATTAGACATATATCATCTGCAAAATCCAGATCTTCTAGACTCTTCTCACTGCCCACAATCTGATGAGTAATCCAGTCCACCACAATTAAGAATATCATCGGTGATAATAGGCAGCCAGCCCTGTCTCACTCCTGTATTCACTTAGAACGCTTCTCTGAGTTTTTCGTTGCGAATCACCCGACATGTGGCATTGTCATATAGGTGTTGAATGAGGTTGATAAAGACTTCGGCACTTCAGCCTGTAGTGTTGGAGTAGTTTCCAAAACACTTCTCGGTCAACGCTGCATTGTTAAAGGCCTTTCCGAAGTCGATGAAGTTATGACTCTACAACTATATATATATATTTATTTGTATACACAGAACATTCTGGAATAATCGTTATTAACAATGTTGGTGTCTTTTAAGTAATATCGATTTGTTCAGACCCACGAAATTACTGTTCAAGAAAGATACATAAGTTAGCACAAAAATGTATTTAGTTAACAAAATAAAATTAAGGAAATCTCTGCAACCAATCAAAGTTTATTAAAACTTTAACGGTCAAAGTAGGGAAAGTATTTGAACCAATTTCTTTTTTGGATGCATAGATTAAACTTCTTGACATAGATTTCCACAAGTTTAGCAGTATGCAATAGACAAACTCTTGAGGTAAAATTAAGTTTTGTTGGTATATATGCTAGATGACTTTGAAAGCCGTATTCACACCAATTTTGTATCCTGTATCCATGAGATGAGATAGACTAGAACTATGAATGGATTTTGTTTGTCCCTTACTTAACCTCATAGGATGGTATACATAATTGTAGAGCCGGAAAAAAATTACCAAAAAGAATATTCTTTGCCCAAATTTTCTTTTATCTTACAAATGTCTGAATCAAGATATTCTGAGTCTACTGCACTGGCTTTTCACTTGAACACTTTTTAACTTAGTTTCAGCGTAAGTTTTTCAATGCGTGACATAAGAAAGCTGAGTTAGTCTTATGACAAATGAGAGAAAATCATGCTACTTTTATGACAAATCCTCAGTTAGAGAAAAAAAATATGATTTTTAATATTTTGGATATTTCAGAAAAGGTTAAATATTATTAAGTTTTTTTTAGTAATGAAATTAAAAACCATGAAAAGTTACTAAATCCTAATATTTATTCTAAAGTATACTTACTTTTTATCACTAATTTGTCCTCCAGATTTCAATAAGGTATCCAACTTCTTACTTCGAAACCTGACAGTAATACCATATTGATTTGGTGTTACCTTAGCATTCCATAGTCTTGAAGGTCTAGGTCGTACAAAGCGTATACTTGGTCCAAATTGAAATCTATACATTTTTAAAACGAAAACAGAAAACAAAAACGACTAATTAAATATAAATTTCAATTTTATAGCTTATTTGCTTGAGAGAAACTGTCGTTTAGTTTGATGCACAATACTATCGTGGTCATGTAACACACTGGGTCATATATATCTGTTATTGTTCTTTGCATTTGCTCAGCTAGTTAAAAACTAAGTGAAAATCAAGCAACAGTCAGACAGACATCTTCGTCCAATATTTTTAGTCATTAAATTTTCCTACACCTGACTCTGTCAACCTCATCAGTCATAAAGTCGTGCTAAAACTGCAGAAAATTGATTTAGAAGCATTCGGCAATTGACAGTGAATTAAAAATGATCTTATTTCGTCCGCAGAAATGTTGTCAACATAAAGATGGATCCTGTCATGAATCGATTATTATTTCACTGAATTATGCACACATATAGTGCGTCAATGGTTCAGCAGGAGAATGCTTGGCAACTATGCCCACGGTCCAGGGTCCAATCCCCGGCCGACGTACGCCTTACCTCGCTAAGCCGATAGTATGACCGGTAAAAAGGAAAGGTTGGGCGTCCGGTTAGCAACTCCACCCCATAAAAATAAAAATAAAACCACTGCTACCGAAACTTCAAAGCTCTAGCTTGAAGCCTTTTGTCCCACTCGAAAAATAATAATGCATACGCATATAACACAGAAAACAATGTCTGTTCGATAGTGATCTACACTTTAAAAACCCGGCCGACAACTGCTACCTTGTCGTGGTGGTCGGACTCGAATACCCCAGTGACCCAACAAGCTAAACTGGCTGAGACTCACGTTCCTGCAGGTCCTACCATGTCAAGAAGGTTGTTTGGATAGCGGTTAAACTAAAAGCAGTTACCATGGAGTACATGGGCTCCAGTATCCAATCGGATAAAATGGCGTATGAACCCATATGGGTCACCGGTAACCATGAGAATGCAGCTCCTGACGCTGATCCGCTGCCTTGCGGATTAGACTCCAAGTCAAAGGCTAGGGGGGTGGTCCTTTAAGAAAACCACCTGCATCGGTCTGGGCGCTCGGGCAGTATCTCAGCCCTCACACAAGTGTGGCGCATCTTTCTTGGTGCCATATTGTATCAAGTTTTTTCTGTGTTTAAATAAAATAAATAATACACTTTAAAAAGAAAATAAGCTCAGGAAAAACAGCATAAAAGCAAAGCCGGGTAAATCTCAGTCCGTATATTACATTTTTAAAAATCATGTCGTATGAACATTTCTCAAAGCTATTTTATATCATCATTGTTATTAATGATGAGAAAAGGAAACGGAGCATGCCACACACACACACAACCGGTTAATTAAAGCAGCAGCTTGTCTTTTCAAACCAATCTAGGTGATTAATTATATCAAGAACAAAAATAAACTTGGATTATTTTGACATTTATCTTTTGCCCTGTAGCAATATTTTGTTTCTGGAAAAATCTACCTACATTCTATAGAAAGCGCTAAGTATCTTTTAAAATGGAGTAGTAGTATACAATTAAACTTGTCACGCAAATTATGACTCATACTTTGTAAATTTCTGTGAGTAAACAAACAAAATAAAAAAACATTTCAAAAGCAAGCAGCTTCATAGAAATTTAGAAGCTTCCTAATCTTTTGATGACAACCTAATTCCGAAATTTTTATCTTATCATAATAAAACACAAAGAATAAGTCGGTTAGTCAGAAAATGAGAGAGATGATATTCTTTTCTGTCTCCGAATAAAGGAAAAGCCACTGATTTCAGCGGTAATCACCTTGTATTAATGCATGAATCTATCTGTTTGCTGATATCAATACCAAGTACTTTGACCAGCATATCAGCTAAGTTCTAAAAATCGCCTGCATTATTACTTCAAGTTATGCTTTGTAAAAAAAAATAAGAAATCTGAGCAATGAAGCATTTTTCCAAACGGTTCCATAATAGTTCACCAATCAGGTTAAAAAAAAACATCGTGTAAGATTTATATGACATTCATTCAACTCGACTTGTGTTGCTTGAATATCTTCGGTGAAACACATATCCTTTATAATAATAATTTTCTTTAGTTTTGGTTTGTAAGGGTGACTTGCTACAGGATAGAGTCTCCTGAGTTCTAATGAGAAGTCATGACCAGTGAGGTTCAATTAGATGTCACGTGTGTGGATGGATGTCACACCAACGAAAATGGTTGGGGTCGCGCTAAATCACGAATTGGTAGAAGTTAGAATTCATGGACTGGCCATTGAGGAGTCGGGTCCCAGTGGCTGAATGGTATACGAGCTCACTGGCCTTGTAACCGGAAGGTCCTGGGTTTGAACCCTGGCGGTGGGTGCGTACTGCTGATGACTCCCAAACTAGGATGAAACAGCAGCTGTCCAGTACTCCAATGCTGGTTTTCAATGGTTCTCTAACTGATATCAATCCGTGATCAACTCGTAAAAATAATAATAATAATTTGCTTTATTCCAAAACAGTACATGTGATACAGAGTGGAATTCTCAGCATTTCACTACAGTATTGCATCCAGTTAGTACATTATCAATAAATAAAATTCTACATAGATTAAGGAAATCTCAGTTCGTTATGACAACAACATATTGGCATGTCGGTAGCAAAGCCAAAAATTGAACAGAGTGTTTGAAGGTGTTAGAAAAGTAGATGCTAGCATATTTACTGATGTAAGCAGAAGAAAGAAACAAAGCTGCACATAACAGAAAAAGAGAGAGAGAAAACGAAAAGAAAGAAAGAAAACGTTGTACCTTTAAAAGATATGAATTGAAAAGACAAGATCCAGTTGTTCTACTGACTATTTAATAAGTTACAGGTATCACGCCTAATGCTTTCTCTATCACACAGAACACGAGCTAAGTAGGTAGGGTATGGTTGAGTTTTGTACTTACTAGTGTGAGCATATAGTTTTCTACATAGGCTTCTGGTTCTGACTGATGAGATACAAGAGGAGAGTTGTGAATGAAGAGGGTGGTGTGAGTTACATAAAATGGATTTAGCCCATTTTTCACATGAGTCCATGTGCCCGTCAACCAGAACATTAACAAGCTGGTTAAGTTGCACGTTGCTTACCTTAGTGCTTACATTATCTTCAAAATTATTGTATCAATCCGTCCGAATGAGCATAGCTGTGAACTTCAGTATGAAATTTAGTACAACTTATTCCTTCAAGTTTGACCAGGGACTAATGTTAATTAAAGAACCACTAGAAAACCTGGGAGTACTGGACAGCTGTTCCGTCCCAGCTTGAACCTCTTCATCAGTACATATCCGTTAGGGTTTGAACCGAGGACCTTCCGGCTACAAGACGAGCTTGTAGACCATTCAGCCACTGAGAGGCGATCTAGTGGCCACCTCATGAATTCTAGCTTCTACCAATTAATGATTCTAGCGTGACAACTTATTCTGTTTTAACAGGTAACTGATACTCAAAATATTAGACTGGAATCAGATACTTACGCTTGAATGCCTATTATTCCAAAAATCCGGCAGAAAATGTTAATTAAATCTTTAATTAAAGACTACCTTTTGCACTGAAATATCTGCACCGTGTACTGTGTATGGCACAAGACATTTTCAGATAAGACTGATCTAATCTTATACTGATAACTTATTATTATTTATTGGTGTTTATCTTCCTTTCTACTTGGTAGTTTATTTGCATTTTTTTATTTTTGTGTTTCTTTTTTGGCTTTTTGTTGTTTTTTAATATTTATTTTTTTGTAATACTCCTTTTAACTACTGTACGATGAAATTAGATGCAATATTGTAGATATGTGCAGAAAATTCCACATTGTACCACAAGTACTGTTTCTGGAATAAAAGCGAAATTATTATTATTATTATTGTATATCTGTATTACTGATTATTCAGGACGTATCGTTAGTCATCGTCTTCACAATAATAATGAATCTACTAATTTACTCCGAATTTCTTTACATTTTAAGCTGATAAAATAAAAGCTATTCAATGGTTCCTCAAAAATAAGTAATAAAATATTATTTGTTACCTTTAAAAATGTATTAATTGAGATGATTTCATGAAACAAAAAAACTCAGCTAACATTAGACGTGGTGTACTAGATTTGTGTGCTTTTAGGCCACCCTAGTAATATGTATTTCGAAAAAATCTAAGGACAGAGAAATGACAGAATTTAGTGCTCTAAATACTATTAGATTTAATGGGTTATGAGCAAGGTTAAATGTACACCAGTAATTGAATTCGCTGTTTTAAAGCCTAATTAATGAGACATATGCTCAAACACTTCAGGTACAGAGATAAACAATGTAAAAGAAACATCATTTTATTAAGTCGTTAAAATATATGAAGTGTTGTACATCAGATTAGTTTTTTTATCACACTTATTGGAACTGAATTTAATCTTAAAGTCAGAGCTAAAGACGTTGTCTTGAAGGACAATACAAGCTTTTCAATAAAGCCATCTGACTCAGAACACAAAACAACATTGATAACATGTACATAAGGTACAAATCTTCGCCATTAAACAACAAAAATTAATTAGAATAGAATTGGCCACGTAATTATAGAAAAACTACCGATAGGCACACTTTTGATTTCACTGTTATTCAGAAATTTAGAAATTAGTGGAAAAACCGAAAATTTTACATAGTTATCACCAGAAATGATAATTATCACGTGTTGGTTTGCAAAAGTTTGATTGGCTGTAGGTTTGATCATAAGCCACTGGAAAACAAGAGAGTACTGGACAGCTGCGTCGTCCTACTTTATGACTCTACTGCAGTACACACCGTTCAGAGTTCGAATCCGAGATCATCTAGTTACAAGGCGAGCGCTTGAACCATTAAGCCACTGGGATCCGATCCAATGGTTCATGAATTCCAACTTCTGCTAGTTGTCGACATATAGCACGACCACCAGCCAATATCTTAAGTGGGTAAATGTTCTCTTACCTGGAATTATAATGAGATGTCCTAACCAGCAGAGTCCACCAAGTTGGATAAGAGAACAGG